GCCCCGGCTTCGTCAGCCTCACTCCCCGCCTCGTTCCCCGCAGGGCCCGCGCCGGCCGGCGCCGTGAGGATGAAAGTGGTGGAGGAGCCCAACACGTTCGGGTAAGCGGCGGGCGGGCGGCGGCGGGCGGGCGGCGGCGGGACCCGCTCCCCGCTGACCCGCCGCCTCCCGCAGACTGAACAACCCGTTCCTGGCCCAGACCAACCGCCTGCAGCCCAGGAGGGAGCCTTCGCCCGCGTCCGGTGAGAGCGGGCAGCGTGCGGATCTGGGTGTGGGGGGCTGCTGGGGAGGCGCTCCGCGAGGGTCGGTCTGGAGGCTCGCGCACGGGCTTGTCAGCTCTTTAAAGTTACGTTCGGGGACGCGAGAGTGTGCCAGCATGTGCTAGTACCGAGGTGACAGCTACCCCAGACTGACCCTCGTTTCCTTGCTAGGAGGGATGGCTGTTAGTGGGGTGAGTGTCTTTCCAGATGCATTTCTGTGCTTCTCCGTGCGCACGTGTGCAAGCGGGAAACGTGTAAGTTGTGCTCTTTGTCCCCTTTTTTTCTAAACAGTAACACTACACAGTATTTGGCTAATTAGTCGTTGTCACCGTGTGTCTTGGAACTTCTCGGAATATTATTTACGCTTTTTTGGCGCGATGGTAGGCGTGGGGAGGACAGCTGGCTGGTACACGGATCAAATCTTGGACTTTGGTGTTACCAGCACCACGCTCCAACCAGCTGAGCAACCGGCGAGCCCCTTGTTTATTTTTGATTTATTTATTATTATTATTTTTTGTCGCGTTGTAGTTTGTATATTCTGGATATTAATCGTTTATTCAAAATATGACTTGCAGTCTTTTCACCCATGCTATGACTTGCCTTTTTACTCTGTTGAGTGTCCTTTACAGCCCTTCTCTCTTTTTATCAGCTGCAAAGCACTCCGTTGTATTCATGTACTTTAATTTTTCCAGTGTGTCACCGTGGATGGACTTTGTGGCTGCTTGTGGGCTTCCTCAGTAAATCCTGTGCAGTGAGAGGCTTTGGCCTTGGACAGATGCATAGTTGTATTCCATGGACAAGTTCTGAGAAGTGGGATTGCTGACCCAAGGGTACCTGCATGGGGCTGTGCCATGCCCACCCCCGTCAGCAGTGTGTGAGAATGCTCCCCTTCCCGTCGACAGAGCCCACAGCCAAAGCTTAGGTTTGCCAGACAAAAAACAGAGATGTTAAGTCTCATTGTGATTTAATTCACACTCTTTTTTTTTTTACTGGGTTTACCGTACTAAACAGTCAGCTGCATTTTTTATTTGATTACTCTGTTTGCGGTCTTTGCCTATTTTTTTCTGTTGGGTTTTGGTGTTTTCTTGATTTCTGTGAGTTCTCCACATTAGGAACATTCCCTCTTTATCTAGATATAATTTGTACACATTTTTCCCCAGTTTTTCAGGCTTTTCATTTTGTTGGTGGTGTTTTTCTCCAGACCATTTTTTTTCTATAGCTGTATAGTCAGGTGTATACATTTTAAATGTTTTTTTTCTTCGATATTTCTATCAACATAAACTTGCAGAGTGGGTTGACCGTGCATGGGGTGATACATTGTCGAGCCAAACAGCACATCCTGCTTACAGGCAAGCTGTTGTTTCGGAAGGAGCGGAGCAGAGAGGGAATTAGCCTGAGACAGAAACACATGGGAGCAGTCCAGGACTCGGGAGGTCCTGGCACAGGGGGCAGCAGGTGCCAGCCCGAGGAGGAAGTGGCAGGAGCTTGCCAAGTCTGATACTGGCCTGTGGGGCAGGGCAGGGTCCATGCAAGGTGGCTGTGGGCACTTTGAGGGCCTGGGTCTCTACCAGTTCAATGGGGAGCCTTGTTCCCTAACAGCAGGAGGGCAGAGGTCATCAGGTCAGTGATTTGGAGCTACTGTTCCGGCTGTGGCATGGAGAGGTGGATGGGGCACAGCGGATGTTGTTCCGCTGGAGCCCACCACACCACCAGGAGGGCTCTGGCTCTGTAGTGGTGGTGGGAGTGAGTAGGTGGCTGGGAGAGACTCAAGCTTTGGCAGGGCCTGGCCCTGGATTTGAGGAGAGAGGGAGGGAGTGGCAAGGAGGTCCTGGGCTGTGGGCTGGAGAGACCATGGAAGGTATGGCTTCTCACCAGGATGGGGAGCCGGAACCAAATTTGTAGGAGGCAGGCCATGAGTTTGGTTGTGGTCAGGGTGAGGGACTGAGTTTATGAGGGAGTTCTGGTGCTTGGGAAGGGGTTCTGCTGGCACAGTAGGTTCAGGCTTCATCAGTGGGCAGGTGGGTGAGTCAGGCCCTGGGTGTGGGTGAGGTCCCAGTGAAGTTCTTGGTGGGATGGTCGGAGGGAGGGTGTGGAAACTACAAAGGGATTGGTACCCAGGTGCATGCAGCCAGGTGTGGGGCCAGGGAGCAGGGCACCAGGGAAGGAAGGGTAGAGGGAGGGCCACCCTCAAGAAGGGACTGTCGCCAAGAGATGCAGGGCCAAGAGAAGAGCTTCCCACCACCCCCCAGGGCTGGAGTTGGCAGACAGGAAATGAGGCAGCCTGTACTTGGCCAAACCCAAGGGATCTTGTGGAGCTATGTCATTGGGGCAGCTGGATATGGGGTCACCTGGGCCTGTGGGCAGGGAGCTGTGGGCATTGGTGAGTGTCCCACGAGGAGCCCAGGGATGATCTCGGGGGTGGAGGTAGTGGGCATTCGGGGGTGAAGAGTGCAGCCATGTGGTCTGGCTGTGTCTGGCTCAAGGAGAGTAGAGTGGGCACCTGCAAGACCAGAGTGTGGGCCAGGCTGTCTGCACAGATGCCCAAGTGCCAGGGACGAGGCCTGTGTTGGCTTTGGGGAGGGCAGGAAGGCTGGGAGCTGAGCCCAGAGCCTATGTGGGGAGGGAAGGAGCCAGGAGCAGGGGCCGCCCAGAGGGCAGCTGATGAGGAGGAGGAACCAAGGGCTTCCTGTGTCCTCAGATGGTGACAAGGGCCACAGCATGGTCCCCTGGGGCAGGCAGCCCTGCCATCTTGGGCTCCCGTCTATCCTGGGAGGGGACACCAAGGGTGAGCCAAATGTCAAGGAACAAAAGGCCAGGCCTGGGCCAGCACCAGGCAGGTTGCAGTAGCATTAGCCACTGCTCTCCCCAGGGCAGCGGAGCAGGGGCCGAGTGGGACGAGCTGAGGGAGGGCCCCAGGGTGGGCGGTTCTCCCAGGCCACCTTCTGGCTCCCTCTGAACTAGCTAGAGCCAGGTTACCAGGGAATGGTCACTGAGTACATTGTGAGTGCTTATTTGATTCTTAATAGAAAAAATAATACTGCAGATAGCTTTGTTTTAAATAAAAAACAATCTAACAGTAGCATCAACTGGGTTTGGAATAGCGCACCCTGCTCCAGTGCAGAGACTCCTGTTTCCCTTGTATGCATGGGGGGTCATGGGTCCCCTCCCTGCTGCCACGACCCTAACCTTGACCTTTCTGATAGTCCCAGATGACAACACGCTTGAAGCTGATTTAGCCAGTTCCCAGGTGGACTCCCAGGCTACATGCGTCACCGTGTCAAACTGCCTTTCAAGTCACAAATATGCTCAAAAATGGGTATTTTAAATTTGGTAGGAAATGTTCATTTCTTTTCACCAACAGGATTAGGGTTAGGCATTGTTTTGCTGAGTTGCTGTTGGTCTTGATTTGTAAACCTCTTGTCCTTTTTTTTTTTTTTTTTCTTTTTGTCTTTTTCCGTGTCCGGCAACGGATCACAACCCTCAGTGTCGCCCCCGTACCGGACCGGGACCAGCAATGGGATCGCAACCCTCGGCGTCGCTCCCGCGCCTCGCTCAGCCAGTGAGCGGGAACCGGTCTGTATGTGGGATCCGAACCCTCAGCGGGAGCGCCGCCGCGCCTCCCAAGCGGCGCACTACAGCAGTGCACCACCGGGCCGGCCCAACCTCTTGTCCTTTTAACCTGCTTGGCATTTGGGGCCGTGGGGAAGAGCTGCTGTGCTCACGTGCTCCGTCCCCTCCTCTGCAGGATGGGTGGGCTTCGCTAGGCCCTGGCAGCTCTGATCTTCCGGTGCTGTGTGCATTCATGTGTGTGTCTGACAAACCGTTGACCTTGGTGTTATAATACCACGTTCTGACCAACTGAGCTAGCGGGCCAGCCCCTGCTTTTCTGTTATATATATATATATATATATATATATATGTATATATGTATGTATGTATGTATGTATGTATGTATGTATGATGTATGTATGTATATATATATATGTATGTATATATATATATTTTTTTTTGTGTGTGTGTGTGTGTGTGTGACTGGTAAGGGGATTGCAACCCTTGGTGTGGTGTCGCCCGCACTGCGCTCAGCCAGTGAGCGCACTGGCCATCCCTATATAGGATCCGAACCCGCGGCAGGAGCGTCGCTGTGCTCCCAGCACTGCACTCCCCCAAGTGCACCACGGGGTCGGCCCTTTTGTTATATTTTAATACCACAATAAAAAAATCAAACAATACTTTAATTATTTTAAGTGTACTCTTCTATGGCACTCACACTGTCGTGCAGCCATCACCACCATCCATCTCCGGAATTCTTTTCGTTTTCACAAATTGACACTCGGTGCCACTGCACAGTAACTCCTGCGGCTCCCTCCTCCCAGCCCCTGGTGAGCCCACCTGCTTCCTGCCCTGTGAATTTGACTACTCTAGGGACCTCACACAAGTGGGTTATACAGCATTTGTCCTTTTGTGTCTGGGTTGTTTCACTTAGCACGAGGTCCCCAAGGTCCACCCATGTCATAGCCCGTGTCAGTGCTTTCTGCTTTTTTATGGCTAAGTAACATCTCAGTGTGTGGAGAGACCACTCTTTGTTTCTTTCATTTGCTGATGGACACTTGGGTCGTTTCCACCTTTGGGCTATTCTAAGTAATGCTGCTGTAAACACGGGGGTGCAAGTGTCTGCTTGACTCCCTACTTCTATATCCTGGGAGTAGATGTGCTGGGTCACATGGTGACTCTGCAGACCGTGTTCTGCAACACACAAGTGTTCCTATCCCCACGTCCTCGCCAACTTCTGTTATTTCCTGTTGTTTATAGTAGCCCTGCTAGCAGGTGTGAAGGTATCTCACTTCGGTTTTGCTTTGCGTTTCTCTGATCATTAGTAACATTGAGCATCTTTCCATGTGCTTGGGGTATTGCTTTGCATTGCTTTGCCCCCCCTCCACGGATTTATCACCTCACTTCTGCTGGGTGACGGAGATGCCAAGGAT